ATCAGAGAACTCACACTGACAAGAAACCATATGAATTTAAAGAATGTGAAAAAGCTTTTAAGCTAAAGTCATACCTCAGCATTTATCAGAGAACTCACACTGACAAGAAACCATATGAATTTAAAGAATGTGAAAAAGCTTTTAACCACAAGTCAGACGTCAGGAGGCATGATAGAACTCACACAAGTGAGAAACCATATGAGTATAAAGACTGGAAAAGCTTTTAACCTAAAGTCATACCTCAGCATTCATCAAAGAACTCACACTGACAAGAAACCATATGAATTTAAAGAATGTGGAAAAACTTTTAACCAAAAGTCAAACCTCAGCATTCATCAGAAAACTCACACAGATGAGAAACCATATAAATGTAAAGACCGTGGAAAAGCTTTTAAGCTAAAGTCATACCTCAGCATTTATCAGAGAACTCACACTGACAAGAAACCATATGAATTTAAAGAATGTGAAAAAGCTTTTAACCACAAGTCAGACTTAGGAGGCATGACAGAACTCACACAGGTGAGAAACCATATGAGTATAAAGACTGGAAAAGCTTTTAACCTAAAGTCATACCTCAACATTCATCAGAGAACTCACACTGACAAGAAACCACATGAATTTAAAGAATGTGGAAAAACTTTTAACCAAAAATCAACCTCAGCATTCATTAGAGAACTCACTCAGGTGAGAAACTACATGAATGTAAAGATTGTGGAAAAGCATTTATGCAAAAGTCACAACTCAGCATTCAGCAAAAAACTCACTCAGGTGAGAAGCCATATGAATGTAAAGATTGTGTAAAAGCTTTTATCCAAAATTCACACCTCAGCATTCATCAGAGAACTCACTCAGGTGAGAAACCGTATGAATGTAAAGAATGTCAAAAAACTTTTAACCGAATGTCAAACCTCAGCAGCCCCCAAAGAAGTCACGCTGGTGAGAAACCATATGAATGTAAAGTATGTTTAAAAATTTTTAACTGAAAGTCACACTTCAGCAGCCTTCAGAGAATTCACACAGGTGAAAAACCCTGTGAGTGTAAGGAATGTGGGAAAGCATTTTACCAGAACTCACCATAATAGACATGAACAAATTCACACATGGGAAAATCCCAATTAGTGTAATGGTTGTGGGAAAGCATTTTGCTGTAAGTCACACCTCACGTTTCATCAGAGAACTTACAGCAAGATGAAGCTTTATAAACGTTCACCTGTCCCTTGGGATTGGAGGTTGGTTCCAGGAGCCCCTGTTGAAGAAAACACTTGCAAAGGATCAAGCCCCTTCTA